AAGCCGATTCCCTGCGCAATTCCCAGTTTCTGGTGTACACTGGCCCCTGCTGCAGCTTCAGCACAAACAGAACTTGAACATGGGAACGCAGAGAAACGCTGACAGTGAGCGGGAGCCTTGGCCCAGGCCATGCAGGAAAACAGCATTCAGAAGTGCAGGATATTGGAGAAAAAAAGCAAAGCAAGTGAAGGGTTTCTGCTCAGCACCCCGAGCAGGTCCCCAGGAACTTGCACTGGATTTGCAGAGGGCAGCGGTGCTGCTTAAGCTGCTGTCACATGTAACCAGCTTCAAGCAACACTCGATTCCCAAACGCACTCATGTTAAAGCAATTAAAAGAAAAAAAAAAGGTTCAAAAGCGCAGGATACTGGGGAAAAAAGGCAAAGCAAGTGAAGGGTTTCTCCTCAGCACCCCCAGCAGGTTCCCAGGAGCTTGCACTGGATTTGCAGAGGGCAGCAATGCTGCTCAAGCCGCTGTCGCATGTAACCAGCTTCAAGCAACACTCGATTCCCAAACGCACTCATGTTAAAGCAATTAAAAGAAAAAAAAAAGAGAGAGAGAGAGAGATAGCAGCAAGCTGGCAGAGGGTTAGTGGCCTGCTGTGCCTGTCTGTGCCCAAATGAGCAGTGAATTCAGACAAAACCTCTCAGCTCAGCACTGCCGCAGTCCCAGCACTGAGTTACAGAGCGAACTGTCTCCATCTATCCCCTCTTACATGCTACAGTGACAAGCAGAGCTGAGATGCCTATCCACAGGACTTTTCCTTAGATTTCCAAATTTCTTAATTACAAAATCTTCCTAGCAAATCCAAACTGCAGTATCAGCATGCAAAAATAGCCCCCAAAAGAGGGAGAAAGCCCAGGGACCCTCTTCACCGCAGCGCAGACTTGCAGCGATGCGCGCCGGCACGCGGATTCTCCCACGCTCCGACTGCACCGGTTGCACAGACCTGTCTGTATCTTGGCTCCGAGCACACCTTGCAGAGGCCATTGAAGCGGTTCATGGCTGGAAACCCTGAACTCGTGTCGAGCCCATGAAAACGCAGCCCCCCGCAGCAGCAGCGGCGATCCCGATCTCCTCAGCTCGCAGCAGCACGGATCAAAACCCCAGCAAAACTGGCATGACCGCCCATGGGAACCCAGCTCTGGAGAAGAATGGCAGGAAGCCACCTCTCACCTCCCCGGCCCCTGCCTGCACGGCATGCCGCTCCACGATAAGCTGGAGGGCTTCCTGAAAACCCTAAGTGACAAGGAAGAGAGAGAGTTTTTATATTAAAATTCCTGTCAACTCTTTAGTATTCCCTAGTCCCTTTGGGGTCGACGTGGCTTTTGTTCCCGCAGCATTCTTGGGCGGCACGGAGCGCTTTGTTATTGCGACGGTTCTCACAAACACCCCGAGGACGTTCAAGCGGCGGTTCACAGGCAACTTCATTGAAAATGTGTCTTACGCTCTTCGCACGTTAGAAGATGAGAGAGTTTTAAATAAATAAATAAATAAGAGTTTGTTTTTAAAAGCACAGACCATGAGATAAACACGTCCCGGTGCTTTGCGTGCAGGGTGCCGTGGAGGAGGGAGTTTAGGGGTCAGTCTAATTGGCCTCATGGTTTAATCTTGCGACGAAAGACAGAGCAACTTTTAACCCAGTCAGCAGCAGGGTGCAGAATGGGACTTGGGAAGTCTTTGCGCCACGCATCCCCTGGGAAAAGACGCTGGAAAGGAGCAGAACCCCCCCTTCCACACTCCTCTGTAGGCATAAAACAGGCTTAATGTCCTTAATGACAGCCACAGCCACCGAAGCGAGGTTGGAGCAGGAGGATGAGGAGCCCCAGTGCTCCCGGGAGCCCCCGGAGCGTGCCAGGGCCAGTGGAGATGCTCCAGGCGTATTGTCCTGGGCCGCCTCGCCACTGGCCCCAGCTGCAAGGAGGAACAGCCTTCCTTCCCAGGCACCATCTTTCAAGTCCGTGGCGACGGCTGGAGAGGAAGGGAGGGAGCAGGGCGCCAGCTTTGTTTGTCTTGCTCCGCCGTGCGCTTTCAAACAAATAACCAAAGCCTCAACCGAGGGAAGCAGCAGAGCGGAATTCGGCACAGATAAATCACAGGGCCTGTTGAGCCCAGTTTCCGACGCGGGTCTTGTGTTTGCGTTCCCGTTTCCCACCCTCGTCTCTCCTATAAATCACTGAGGCTCCACCGTGGGGCTTTCCCCTACCCAAACAAGCAGCTCCACAAGGAGGAGGGCAGCAGACACAGCCCAACTGCAGAGACACAGTGCAGCATGGAGCAAATGAGGGGTGACTCCCTGCGTTGCCCACTCTGCTAATGGGCATGTGATTGGGATTATTAATTACTTCAAAAAGTTGTGGTTTTGGTAAGGAGACGGACACAGCATCGTTCTTGCACCAACCCACTGGCTAGTTCAAAACCTCTCCAGGGCGGTTTCCCTGCCTGATGGCTTCCAGTCCTGCTTGGTCTCCACCTTTCTGGTGGGTCGGAGCCCCGTTGCACCTACCTTCAGCTGCTCCATGTTCGCAGCGTCCTGGCCTTCCCGCGCTGTGCCCTGGCTTCCCAGTGCTGGCTCTACAAGACAGATGGAAAGGTCACATAAGCCTGAAAAGCTCTCACTTCTAAGGGCTCTTCATCCTGCTCACCTTGTCCAGGCACTGCAAGGCCTCTGTGTGTCAGAGGGAGGTTTCCTCCAGCCTGGGCACAGCTGGTTAGTCCTTTCAGCCTAACCCTGCTCTGCACTGGCCCACCCAGCTCCATGCAGTCCAAAACGCTCACCATCAGCCTGCACAGACTTGGATCCCCAGGATCAACCCTAAAATGAAGGGCTGGAGGCAGGAAGGGCTCAGGGACATCACTATGAAATCGATGCCCCAGGGAGAAGCACAGACAACCAAGGGCAAAGCAGGAGCGAAAAGTAAAGGGAAGAGCCCGGTACTGGTGCCAGGCCTACCAAAGTGGTCAGGATCTCCTTCAGGCCTGTCTGTTGACATCCTGCTGCCCACTGAGCAGCGTGGAGCTGAGAAGTCCTCACTGGGGCACAGAGAATGGGCTGCTCCATGCTAGTGTCAGGTGTGGACACAAGATTAACTCTCCTTCTGAGCTAGGCCAACATACCCTGTGATGGTCCTGCAGGAGAAGGACCTCTGCTCTGCTTCAGCCGCCGCGTAGCCACCTTCAGGTGCTTGGTCCTGCCCAGATCCTCCCCAAGGAGGTAGTACCAGCCGCTGATCTCCTGGGTAGGAGCAGAGAAGCTGCTCAACATAGAGGCAGGCACCCGTGGCCCTGTGAGGACTTTACCCCCCAGGTAGCACCGTAAAGCAGTGCCACCATTGCCCATGCATGCTGACCCTATGGAGAGCCACTGGACCTGCTGCGGGCTGGAGAAGTTCATCCCCCTTGGACTCACTGTGGTTGCTGATGCCACTCAAAGGGTCCCAAGGCAGGAAATGCCCTGGGAGCACAGACACTCCCCAGACATGCTCACACACTGAGGCCTGGCCTAGAGCACATCTCCTCAGAGACAGCAACCACTGAGCTCCTGTCCTGCTGCATGGAGGTGCCAATCATGGCAACGGTGATGAACCTCTAGGGATTTAGAGGGAGATGGTGCAGCAAACCAGACAATCCCCCCAAAATAAACAGGCAAAAAAAAATCTCTATCAGGTTTGCAGTGGCCAACAGTCCTTCAAGGAGTGCCCAGCTCTAGCCTTACCACTGAAGGAGAACGCTCAACCCCAGCAATGCTGGGTGCTCTGTGGCAGAGCTCCCTTTGCCCATGTCCCATTTCCACATGGTCAAGGACCCCTAAGGACCCTGCAGTAGTCAAGGGGACAGAGCTGGCCTTGGCTCCCAGGATGCTCTCCTGGAAAAGGAACAGTGGGAGGAACCAAGTGCCATGGAGCAAGCCCAGGGCTCCAATGAATCCCATTCTCATGGGAAAAAGCAAGGGGCCCATTTAAAGATGAGTGATTTAAATCTACACTAGGGCCTTCACAGAGCAAGCCCAGCTCATCTCAGCCCCAGCTAGGAGCGCCACATCCTCCTAACACCCTCCTCCTATCCCTGCCCCACAAGAGTAGGTGCCTGGGCGCTGTATGTGGGTGCAGCTCCTGCTTCTCTACACGCAATCACAGCTCAGAGATTGGGCTATTGCAGAGGAAAACGTGCAGTGTGCCTGTGATCCTTTAATGCCCAGGGCAGAGTTTTGCACCTTCCAGTGACACATCTGCTGCTGCTGTGTCTCAGACATTGGCCTGAGTGTCTGATCCCTGTCCCTCTCTAACAGTTCCTGTATTTTGGAAGATGGCAGCAGTCATTTACAGTAGTGCCCTGCAGGCTTCTTTAGGAAGACAAATCCAGCCGAGCTGAAAGCTGCGTTACCAAGCAGCAGCCAGGCTGGGGCAGCAGCACCATGACACGGACTCTGGCGCACAGACCTCCTGGTGGCACCATGGCCTCCAGGAATGACCAGAGAGGGGATAATTTGTCCTCCCACCACCTCCCTCAGAACAGTCCCATGGCCCAAGATCTGTTTCCTCCTGGCCCCTGCATCCCTGCCTTCTGTGGTCACACGGACACCAGTCTCCCTCAATGCTGCGGGTGCAACCAGGGCCCACCCTGAGCATCTTCAAAGCTTTGCTCTGTAACTAGAGAAACCATCTCCATCCCAGCTCCCAGATGAAGGTGCATCGTGTCTGCCCACAAGCTTGAGGAGGGCCCCAGTCCTGTGCGCCATGTCTGGTGCGGAGGTACCTTGTCTAGGGTCAGGAGGGACTTCACACCGAAGCTCATGCACCCAATCAGTTCGCTCTTCCTGCAGGAGAGTGGGAGAAGGTCAGCATGCACTTGTTGAACCTGTGGATCAGCTCCCCACGGGCCCCGCTTCACCAGGACCTTCACAAACACCCCTGCCAGAGCCCAGGATGTGTCTCCCTCCTTTCCAGGCTTTATCTGAAGCTGCCTCAGAGTCACTGCTGGACTGAAGCCTCCCACTCATTGAAACCTCCAGCCTGTCAAAATCCTAGAGTCCCATGGGGGCCTAATGCCAGCAGGAGCTTGGCCAAAGAGGCAGAAGCCACATGCCTAAGCAAGCAAGACACCCTGCCAAGGGCCAGACCTCTTGCTGCTGGGATTTGTCCTCAATTGCTTTACCCCAAGAAGCAACATCCTTAAAAAAAAACTGCTCTTATGCGTGTTTGCACAGGCAAGATGTGAGCTTGTAATGACAAAATTGGGTTGATTTTTAACACCAGCAGGCCTAGGGCTAGCGAGCAGCAGCGACATGGGCAGAGGGCAGCAAGAGCAGATTCCTTGTTTGCTGCATGCACGCGGCACGGCACTTGCCCAGCCAGGTTGCACCGGGACAACCTCAGCCAGCTACAGTCCCGGTCACTCCGCACGGCCCTCCCGCCTCGCCAGCCTGCAGCCACCGTGCGCAGCAGCCCCACTGGCAGGACCCGAGCCCTGGAGGGACTCCCGTGGGGTCGCCAGCGCAGACAGCAGGTCATTGTGCCAGCCCTGTTTTAAAGAGACCAAATCGCAGCCCCTTACCTGGAATTTCTCTCCCAGTTCCAGACTGTGACCAGCAGGCGTTTTTGCTCGTCCTCCTCTTGCACCGGGCTGTAACAAGCAGAGGGGACAGCCCGTGAGCGCCGCTTGGCCACGGCTGCCCTCGGGGCCAGAGACCCCTCGCGCTCCTCAAAGCAGGGTTTCCTCCTCCGTGCAGCGCTGCAGCAGTCACCCCAAATGGCAGTTTTTGCAAACGAGTCTCTGTGCACTAATTTGCTAGAATTAATGCAGCTACAAGCTCCATTCCATGTTTCTTACATAACAAGGAGCTCTGCCTGTCCAACTGGAGCCGCTGAACAGAAGGACACAATTTCCTGACAGGCGGCTGCTGAGGGATGCGACCTCCCTTGGGCAGGTGCCAGGGACACTGCTCAGGTGGTTCCAGGAGAAAGCAGTCGTGCAGGAAGCCACATATCCGACACAAAAGAGCAAACACAACGAACAAGCCCCAATTCATGCTCTGAAATAACCACCTGTGCCAGACTAACTACCATGCAAGGACGAAGGTCTGACACAGCCTGGCTTGCTAGCAAGGGCAAGCTTCACCGAAACGCTCCATGCCGTGCAGCTCCTTTTCCATGCAGGGACACGCTGCAGTTGCGGGAAATCCTTTTACCTTCCTCGTTCATACCGATGCCTGGTGTCATTGCAGGCACAGGGCCTAGGAGGGTGTCTGCCCAACTCCTGCCCAGCAAGAAAGTCCACCCAGGCGGGAGCCCTGCTGCCACGCTGCGAGCTAACAGCTTTGTGAACCTCGGCAAAGCTCTGCCCAAAAGTTTGCGGCATTTCAGCTATAAGAAACAGCAGAATAATGTCTGTCACTCCTCATCTAAGCAGTGGAGCTGCTCATGCATGATGCATGTTTGTTACAGATAACAACAATGCAAAAGCAAACGCGGGATCTCGGCTGCGAGGGGGTTTGCCCCGGGCCAGCGTCACACAGCTCCCCCGCTGCTCTCTGGGAACCACGGGGGGGCCAGAGCCACCTCTGCCCCGTCGTACTCACAAGAGAAAGTGCTCATGGAAGACGGGATTTTTGCTGTCTAGCACAGTCTTCGTCTTCTGCCTGCATTTCCAGTCGGCATCTGGCACGATCGACATCTTTAGATAGAGAAACAAGCGGCGTGTTAGCCGTACCGGTGCAAACCCGGCCGGCACACGGCTGCCAGCTCTGCCGCCGCAGCAGCAGGACACCGGCAGAGACAGTTTTATGGATGGCTAAGCCTCAAAGATCCAGCTGAGCCCGTGCTAATGGGTGCTTTAGATCACTTTACCCTATGCGTGTCGAGCCGGGGAATTACAAGACTCTTCAGGAGGTGGGAGGTGACAAGAGCAAACGCTTTAGTTACAAGTCAGAAATACGAGGGCTCGATGCACACAGATGCTGCTGGCCACTCTCTGGCTTGCAGCCCCTCGCAGGGAAGATGCTCCCTGCGCACAGCACAGGGATGGACAAGCAGAGGAGAGGACCTGGCTAGCGACTCTGGCATCAGGCTAAGGACAAACCATCTCCCTGCATGCTGAGGTTGCTCAACACAAGAGACCAAGGAGGATAGGGAAGAGACAGGGAGTCCAGGGCATGCTTGGTGCACCCAGCCCCCAAACCCAGCACATGAGGATGTTCCCCGAGCAGAGCCCTGGGAAAACTCACCTTCACATAGGAGTCACACGACCGGTACTCCTTTCCCATTAGACCTTTTGCTTCCATGACTGGTAAGAAAAGGAAAGGGTTAAACCCCAAGCTGGCAGGGAAGGCATCTCCGTATGGCACGGCTCTGCTCCACATAGTGCTCCTTCATCACGGGAGCGGGCTGGACCAGCCTCCCGCCCCACAGGTCCCCACATGCCTCCCCTCCAGCCCAGCCTCAAGGCACCCACGAACACACAAGCATTTTAGGTGTAGTTTGGCTTTAATAATCCCATACTATAAATACCGGCGCCTGTGCGGGAAGTTGGAGGCAGATGCACTTCAGCATCCACGTGGCAAATTGCATTTCGTGTGCCTGACTTCACACAGCTCTGGGCTCCCTGCCCTGCAGCCAAATGTATCATCAAGTTAAATATCAGTGGCTACATCCTGACCGCAGCCCTGCCAGCAGGAAGGCAACATTCCCTCCTGCCAACAGCGGGAAACCCCGCGCTTCCCAGCCACGTGCCGGAGGCGGTATCTGTGCAGCAGCACGGATAGCCCGGGATGTGCTGTCAGAGGGAGGCTGAGCTCGTTCCTAACCCGCCCGACAAGGCAACAGGGACTTGGCCTGCACCAGGGAGAGCTATGTGCACCTTAGGAACACACTCATCCCAGTGGAAGCTGCAGCGCAGAATGGGAGACAGGCTCTGCAGGACCCTCTGGAGCTTCACAGAGCTGTTTGCAAAGCTCCTCCAGGACAGGCTCCACCAAGAGCTACTTGCTCCTGCCAGACCTGCTTCGGTTTTAAAGACTTTGGTACCACAAAAAAAATGAGCCAAAAGCAGGAACCAGGGTCCAGGCACCCTGAGCGCCGCAGCCTGGCATGGGGCTGATCTCCCCGGGCAGGCAGCCCAATGTCACAGAACCCAGGTTGGTTTTCACATCCTGGAGGATTTAGCAGGAACAGCTGGAATTGCAACAATTTGAGGAATTATGGCTAGGTTGGAGCCTCCAGAGGAAGGAGGGGGCTCTCAGGCACTTGGTCTCTTGCCCCTTGTGGAACATGCTGTGGCTTGAGGATTAGCAACCCCAGTGCAGCCCAGGGAAATACTCTTTGCAAACAAGTATTTCCAGGGGCAAAAAAGATGCAGTGTCTGGAAGCACCTGAACTACTTGAAAATCCCAGCAAAGTCTGCCAAATGGGTTTGGGCAATAAAAGAGACATTTCAGAATGGACGAAGTGTTTCAGGGTTTCTTTCCCCCACATTTTTTTTTCTCCCTTACAGAGTTTAAGAAAGAAGTTCAGAAAGAAGTTACAGAATGGGAACGCAAAATGCTGTGGTCCCAGGAAAACAGAGCTCTCTGGGAATTACAGAGAACCTTCGTCATTCAGTTCTGCCACAGGGTCACTGCCATCACGAAGCCTCCCCGAGCTGCTCGAAGGGCTTTGGCGACGCCGTCCCCATCGCTAAGGCACTCACCGTGCAGCGCCAGCACGCGGCCCCGCGCCTCGATGGAGAGCTTCAGCTGGCCTGCAAGCAAGGAGAGGAGAGACGGTGAGCGCGGCAGGGCCTGCACCTCCTCCCCAGCACAACAGGGACCCCACGGCACCCAGCCCTGCCCAGGGCCAACCCCATCCTGTCTCCCCGCTGCTGGGCACGAGGGCATCGCTCAGGAAGATGAAAGAGGTGGGGAGGAAGCACATTCTCCTGCTACCAAGAAAAGCTCTTGCAAAAACATTCTGGGAAAAAACGAAGAGTGTTTTCTCAGCACATCAGAAACTCCACTGGCACGAGGCCCAAGCCCACGATGGGGACAGGAAGCACCAAGCTGGTGAAACAGTCGCTACGAGATGGATTAGCCCCTTGCCGATGGGTGCAGCGCGCTCCAATCCTGCCTCCAGCACCTCGCTGACCTCCCCTTCTCCTCCTGCCTGTGCTCCTGCACAGGGAAGGGGCTGTCACCTCTGGAGAAGGGTGACAGCAGGCCAGGCTGCAGATGGCCTGGACAAACGCTAAGGACAACAGGTGCTCTCGGTGGCAGGAACGTGCAGCGCCAGGTCACCAGGGCTGGCTCTGTTCCGGGCACTAACCTGTTTTCATGGGGGACCTTGTTGCACACAGGTCTCCTCCCTGCGTCTCAGCTCCCGGCTGCTCAGGCACCCTATGGCTTACAGGGCACCCAGAACTCAGCATCGCCATGAGCAGAGCCAGGAGGGTCCAAGAGACCCAACACAGGATGGCTCCAAGAGCCTGGAGTCCAGACATGTCCACCAGGACTCCAAAGCCACTACAACTCTTTTGACTCCAACCCTGCAGTTCCCAAAGCTGCTCCTGGGCGCTCAGAACCAGGCTGGGAATGGCCTGGCAACAGGAACAGAATCAAATCAAAATGTGGGAGCTAGGGAAGAAAAAAAGGGAAACAGGGACACGGTACAGCCTGGACAGTCCATGCCTACGTAACACCCAGACCAAGACTGTTCCAGGAGTCCCAGCCCATCCTGAGCACACAGGGGTGCCTGAAGAGGCAGGATGGGGTGCGGAGAGGAAACAAAGAATGAGCCAGGCACCTGTCAGGCATCTTTAGCATTGGATGACAAAAAGGAGAGAAATCACATTATTTCAGTCAGCACTTCTGAAGAAGCACAGAGAGAGCAGCAAGGGAGGAGCCGCAGCATCCCGAAGAGTCCTTCGCCTGGTGACAGGCGAGGCAGCCGCCTGCAAACACAGTGACCACAGCTGCGAAAGCTGCTCAGCTCCCGGCTCTCCCCGCTCCAGAGCGGCGCTGCGAGCAAAATCCAGCTCTTGCACAGCTCCGCACCCGGCCCGCGATTCCCACCGCTTTGCAAAATGCCCCTGCCAGCTGCACGGGTTCCCAGCTCTTATCTGCAAGCGCAGCTTGTCCTTTTTGGCACTGCCTGGACCTGTCTGTGGGCAGCCAATTCCCAGCAGCAAAGAGCCAAGCGGGCCCAGCCCTGGCTCTGTGAGCCAGCCCTAAACATCCACAATATTCAGAGTGGCAAAAGGACTCGGCCAAGGTGATTCCCAGGGTCTGGGTGCAAAGCTGCCAGGATGCAGAGGACCCTGAATGCTCCCCTGGAGGGTTTCCTGGGAAGCGGCGACAGGTCATGAGCCAGCCCAAATATCAGGGCCGATCTGAGGGGTAATGCAGCGTCCAAAATCCATGCAACAACTTCAGAGTCCCAAATACCATTAGAGACTGTAAGATACCACTGTGTATTTTACGGAGTTTCATTCATGAGTACGCTCCATTTGCACTTTCTTCCGAAAAAAAAAAAAAAAAAACACCACACACACATTCATAAACACAATTTACCGATGCCTAATGATTATTTCAATTCCGAAAAAACAACGCTGTATTTTGCAAAGGCCACACTCGCAGGTCTGGGTTTTCTGAGGAGGATTTCCAAAGGGATTGTTCAATCCAAAACAATTCGAAAACCAAAACAGCATCTGGTTTTTAAACCCCTGAAAGCCCTGGCAGAAAATCTGCAGGTATCTCCCCAGCTCACAGGCGTGTTTGCCTGTATATGTGCAAATGCAGGTGGCTACATGCACGCACACGTGTGCAAATGAGAAAGGGGATAAAACCAAGGGACAGGCTCTATCAGGTGGGGGGAAAAGCTCTGCTGAAGGCCAAATTTGATTTACGCCAATGGGAACATGGCCCCCAGTTTTATCCTGCCCTCAGAGTCACCCCAGCCTTTTGAACCCGGGCATTAACCCTTCTGCTATCGCCCCATCTCTGACGCGGTGGGAACAACCTCCTCCATCCACTGTTAGCATTTAACAACCTCGCAGCGCGAAAGCAAAGTGCGCCAGTGTAACCAAGCATGACGAGGAGGCAGGCGGGTGATGAATGGGCCCCTGCGAGGAGAAAGGGAGCTTTTGTGCTGGGTAATTCGGCAGCTGGGGGGAGGAAGCTCAGAGGACTGACCTGAGCCTGGGAGCTGCCAGGGCCACGCAGCTCCCTAGGCAGAGCTGGCCGAGGGAGGGAGGGACGCGGGGAGAGGGGACCGCGGTCTCCTGCATCATGTGGATTTTTGCTTCTCAGGGTTTTAGCTGGGCAGTGGCCCCGCTGCAGCAGGCAACCCCAGCACCAAGCAGGGAGGAAATGGGAAGTTTTGCCTTTTTCAGAGGCACCAAAACTGGCCCCCAGGAGAAGGGGATTTGGGAATACCCAAGCCCCAGGCATAGGGTAAGGAAAGAGCCACCTCCTTCCCTGAGGAGAGGTGCAGATGACGATTCTCTCTTAAAACTCTTGCAGCACTCTCCCATGCTTCCGCAAAGCACAGAGTGAAGCTGTCGCCAGAAGGACCCAGCTCGAGCTGCTCGGGGGTATTTTGCAAGCGATCTTCTGTCCCTGGACAGAGCTGCTCAGCAGCAGCAGTGCTGTTTTCTCAGGCATATGGAACGCTAGACTTCTTTCAGACCTGGATGAGCAGAACCACAACCCCTTGTGCTTGGAGCATGGAGAAGAGACGGCTCTATACAGTTCATTCTGACAAGTAGGACACGCTTTTAGGCTGCATTCCCACTCCCCTTTCCAAAGCAGTCAGGACAGCATCATCCCAAGTTTGTCGCCTTCGGCATCAAGAGAAAACACCTGCACTTGTCCAGCACAGGTTGTCCAGGTCACCCACACTCAGAAAGAATGAACATAAATGAAAATAAGCACACAGAAAGGACAGAGGGAGATGAAAGAGCAGACAGCCCTGCTCACAACAGCACCCCCATGCCCAGATTTTGCATTAATGTCACCAAATCCAGAAGCTCCTTCTGTTAGAGCAGCAGGGTGTTTTCCTGCGAACAGGGGAACACTTCAGAGAGGACATTCGTGTTGGATAATGGTCGGGATAGTGGATTCCCAGAGGCACAAGGGGAGGGTACCGGGGGCTGATCAGCACCTACAACTGCTTGTCACTCCCCATCTCAGGTTGGCTCAAAGGCCCTCTCCATGGTCACCCACACCAAGGCACCCGTGCTGGCCTTGCCACACGCTGCTCCCTTGCGCAGAGGTTGCCCAGCCAGCAATGGAAACCGTGGCTGCAGAGAGGACATGTGGCCCATATTTGATTATTTGTATTGCAAAAATGGCATTATTTGGCACACATCAACCCCTTGGAGAGGCAAACGGGAAGACTTCAGCTTCCAGGGTCTGAGAGGGTGGACACTAAAACGACAAGAGCAAAGAGCCAAGACGCATTAGCAGCAATCAACTGCCTTGGGCTGCAGCAAGGCCTGACACACCATGTCAACCCAGCACAAGCCAGTCCCTCATCCCCTCCTGGTCTGGGCGGGCCTGGCCAGGAGGGACCATCACAGGTAGCGGGAAGGAGCAGCACCCCAGCTGCCCAGAGCAGGGATGTCCCTCTCCACACACACAACCCCTGGGGAAGCCAGAGAAATGTCTGGCCCAATGCAGGGGACCCCAGCACTTCCCACAGTGTCATCTCTCCCTCAGGACTACACAATGCTGCTGTGGTGTCCTGACCTGCCCAAGACCAGATGAAGAGCCCACTGGCCCGGAGCTGGGACCCAGGGCAGAACAGACATTGAAGGAGGGAAAATCCTGCACAGAAGCTAATGGTCCCCCAAGGCAGGGAATGAAAACAAGACC